TCTCGATCTCCTGACCTCGTGATCCGCCCGTCTCGGCCTCCCAAAGTGCTGGGATTACAGGCTTGAGCCACCGCGCCCGGCCAATTTTTGTATTTATTGTAGAGACAGGGTTCTGCCATGTTGGCCAGGCTGGTCTTGAACTCCTGATTTCAAGTGATCCACCCACCTCGACTTCCCAAAGTGCTGGGATTACAGGCTCAGCCACTGTGCCAGCCACTTTTGAGGTATTTTGCAAGCACCAATTGCATCATCAAACCGGTTTCTATTCCTTTAACTTAAAAACAAAACAAAAAAAAGGCACAATTCATGCTTTTTACAGAAAACTTGGAAAATAGGAAAACAGAAGCCCTCCTCTCAGCCCTGGCCTCCTCCATCCGCGTCCCCTTCCCTCCCAGGCCCCCAGGCCTCCTCATTACTTTGCAGGGGTACTTCCGCGGCGCTGCGCCCTGGCCCTGCTCATTGGCATCTCTGAAAGGAGTGGCTGCAGCTCTGGCTTTCCAGATAACCAGCGCTCTAGGCCGTTTCCCAGATTGGAGCACTGTAGGTTTTAAGAACTAAAACTTTAAAATATCAGCCATGTTAAAGGCAGTTTCTTTTCTTTTCTTTCCTTTTTTTTTGAGACAGAGTCTCGCTCTGTCCCCCAGGCTGGAGTGCAGTGGCCGGATCTCAGCTCACTGCAAGCTTCGCCTCCGGGGTTTACGCCATTCTCCTGCCTCAGCCTCCCAAGTAGTTGGAATTACAGGTGCCCGCCACCAGGCCTGGCTAATTTTTGTATTTTTAGTAGAGAGGGGGTTTCACTATGTTGGCCAGGTTGGTCTCGAACTCCTGACCTCACGTGATCTGCCCGCCTCGGCCTTTCAAAGTGCTGGGATTGTGTTTTGTTTTATTAAAAGCCCAATTAATTAATAAAAGAGGCCGGAATCAAATAAAGAAAGTGGTAGCCTTTATTTGCAAATATGCACGCGCTCTCGGGTGAGGTTCTCCGGTCCGCAAGTAGGGAGGGCCGGAGAAGTCGCGGGCCGGAGAAGTCACGCCGGCACTTGCCGGCGACAGATTTTTATGCCTTGCGACCGGAAAGGGGAGGGCAGTGGGTGGGACGGGGGTGTCTTCATGGGCGTGGATGGGTAAGTTTTGATTTCTTCAGGTTGACGTCACTTGGCGCATGCTCAGTTGGTTTGCGCTTTCCCGGGCGCGGGTAAATTGGTGGTGAAGAACTCGGAAGCAACAGGGACTATGCCATCTTGTTCATTTTTCCTCCATCTTGGCCCATTCCTTCACCCAAACAGTCCAACCTCTCATTGATTATAAGATTTTAGGGCCCAGTTTTCTCTCTGGCTGCTTCCTGCTGTTAAGGGGCATAGTTAGGGTCTGAGGTTGGCAGTTGGGTGTAAGGGTGTAGGAGCATTTGATTGAAGGAAACTCGAGTAATTTTCTTGGACCCTGGCTCGGAGGAATTTTATAAAAATGGGAGCAAAACATAAAATAATGCAGAGAATTAGTATGGGGATTAGGAAAGGAAGCATTTGTTGTACTATTGGCAGTAACCATACAGGGGGTCCGGGTACTAAAGGGCTGTTAAATTGTTGGAGTTCTTTCTTGATTTTGTTTAATCTTTGAATGTTGGTGTCAACTAGGCCTGATTCATTTATGTAGTAGCAACATTCTTCTCCAAGGAAAAGGCATGTTCCTCCCTTTTCAGCAGTAAGATCATCTAATGCCCGCCTATTTCGTGCCGCTACCTGAGCCACTGAGGTGATCTGACGCTGTAAAGAGGCTGGGCTTTCAGCTGAAGCCCCTATGGCTGCCTGGAGCTGAGTGGGGAGGGTCTGTGTGGATGGAATCGAGTGGGTGAGGGCCCCTGTTCCAAGTCCTGAGGCTACTAGGGAGGATGCTAAGGAAACCCCGATAACTAATGGAAGAAAGATAGCCCGTTTTTGGATTTTTTGGTTAGGAATAGTGAGCTGAGAAGTTAGTTCGGACAGTTCTCCTTTACCATATAGGGTTAAACTGGGTACCAAGGACACTGGAACGCAAAGAGACTGGGTGAGGGAGGTATAGTTAAGAGTTCTGGATAAGGTATGGTTACACCAGAAGTAGCCGCCAAGGGGAGCCGTCTGGGTTTTATTGGGAGCTTGGGTGTGATTGCACCATGAAGAATTTGGAGTGGAGTAACAGAAGGGAAGGGGTAGACTTTGTGGATTATGATATAAGGGGACTTGAGACAGGGGCGCTGATTGAAGTGAGCCGGTAGAGTCATTGGTAGTATTGAAAGCGGCTGGTAGGGGGACTGCCAAAAAGGGGGCTTTGCCGAGAGTAGCGCAGAGAAAGCACTGGGAAAGATTTTTCAGTCCGGCTGCCTGCGATAGATTAAGTCCTAGACGAATAAGGGCCAACCATGAGAATGGGTCTTTGTTGTTTGGGGGGTTTAACTGTTCCTGTAGTTTTTGTTCGCGTTGTTGTATGACTGTGGTTAGATTTGTAGAGCCTGCACAGTTTTAGGGAATTGTATCTGTTGGACATATGTTCTAATTACCCGGATGGTTGCGGTTGGATATGAGGAACTGACTGTTGAATAAAGTCCGCCTTTTACCCCGCTGGCCCACCGGGAATCCCAAGGATCTTTGATGAGAAGTCTGTATTTTTTAGTATTTTCGTCCTGGGTAAATATGCTTGCTGTCATTTGTAGACCCCCACCTGTCCAACCTAATTGATGTATATTGCAGTAAGAGTAGGGGCACCCAACATTAGCCTCTTGCCAGTAGTTCCGGCAGTTATAGTGGGTCTGGTCATATACGAAGCACAGGGCCGGGCGATAGCCTGGAGTGAGGGAACTTAGGGTGAAGTTTAAGTAGATGGCCTGTTGGCAACCTAGCGGGGGGCAATCTGCAGTACCTTGCATGACTGAATGAACTTGGTTATTTGTGGTCCAAGTCTCAGTGATAGAGAATCTCCACACAAAGTTAGGAGTAGTAAGAGGAGTTACTGGGATTATGGTTAACCATGATAATATTAACAAAGGTGCAGAAAGTACGCTCATTATGGCTAAAGTCACAGAGGGTACCTTGCCAGGCTCGGTCTTCTAACTGATTAGGTGAGGAGTCGGGGAGAAGAGTGGCTAAGGGTTCTATGAAGAGGAAGTCAATAATTGTCTTAAAAGAGAAAGGTATGGCAGGTAGGGTGCTAATGGTGTGGGTAGAGTAGGGAGTTCTTGCGGCATGAGAGGGCGCCCGTATACCAGTTCAAAAGGACTAAGGCCCGTGGGGCTTCTAAGTGCCGCTGGTAGTCTGGTAAGGGCAAGGGGTAGTAGGGTTACCCACGATTGATGTGTCTCTATGGAGGTTCTGGTTAGTTGTTGCTTGATGAGTCCAGGTAATGTTGAGAGAATCTGCAACCAGGGGCACAAGGGCATCATGAAAACAATGTTGGAGCCCGGGTGGGGATGAGAGGGTAGGTTAATGGACGCCCTAAGTTTGGTTAAGATATTTCGTCCTAGAAGGGGGTGGGGCAAGAGGGCATGATGAGGAAAGAGTGGGCAAAAGTGGGGCAAGAGGGCATGATGAGGAAAGAGTGGGCAAAACATGCATAGTCCAGGCAGCAATTTAACATCGGGGTTTGGCGAGGGTTAGACGGTTTACCGTTTACCCTAACTACTGAAATAGTGGAGCGTTGGCTAGGTCCTCCATAGGACGCCAAAACAGAGTATTGATGAGAAAAGAAATGGGCTTACCCGCTACCTGTAGCGTTACCCTGGGCTGGGGTGACCGGGGTCTCCGAGTGTGGGCACCGTCAGTCCTCGTCAAGGTGTAGGAGTTGGAAGGAGCCTTCCCACCTTTGAGGAGAGGCACTACGTTGAGGCGCGGTGCCTGTGCTGATGGCGGGGCAATCAGACTTCCAATGCCTCTCCTGCTGGCAAGCTGGACATGGCGTGGAAGGCGGGCAGGGATGTGGGCACTTATTAGCCCAATGCTCAGTCATAGGAGACTTGTCTTTTATCTTTTCCGCCGGCAGAGCGGGCAACGCTGGTTGGAGGGCAGCCACCAAAGCCTGTACCCAAACAGATTGCAGGCGTGAGCCACCGCGCCCGGCTCCTTTTCTTCCTTTCCATGTAATAGCTTGATTGAGAAATAATTCACATATCAAATTCACCCTTTTAAAAAGCGAGCAACGCGGGGCGCGGAGGCCACGCCTGTGATCGCAGCGCTCCGGGAGGCGGCAGTTCCAGGCGGGCGGATCATTGGGCCGGGAGTTTGAGACCACCTGGGCAACGTAAACTCCGCCTCTATAAAAACAATTTTAAAAAAAGAAATAAGGAGCGCGTGGTCCGCGGGGGCAGCGCCTTTACCAGCCCGAGCCTGCAGCCCCCCAGGCCGCGCCGTCCTCGGCTCTCCCGGGC